CCCCCCCCCCCCCCGGGGTTGTGGGACACCCTCATGAGAAAACACAGCAAACGTGTAGACAAGAAAGCCAGACTCATTTCAACCTTACATCAAAGTGATTGAAAACAGGACGGAGGTAGATTCTGCTCAAGTCCGCGAGGGAGAAACTCCATCTACCAGCCTTAGAAGCCATTCAAAGGAACTTTCTAGCAAGAGAAAACATGGAGGGTATTTGCTGCCTCCCTTTCTCCTGGGAGCCCCCGGATTCTTCAGGGGACCCCTGGGCCCTTTCCTAAACCTGCACAGGCGATCGGGAATGCAATTTGGCCAGAAAGACCCTCGGCAAATGCTTACCCGGCCGCTGAGCGGGGATTCCCGTTGGAGTTTTCTGCCGAACAAAATGACTTGAAAATGATCCAGTCAATGACAAAGCACTGTTGGCAAACGGAGCCCTTGCAAGTCCGCTGGAAACGGACTCTTCCTCCTCGGAGACGAACCCTGGCCACCTGGGTCAATAATTATGGAGTTGCTGACTGGAAGGAACTTCGCCGGGGTCACCAGGCCCGTTCCCATGCACCGCGGTGGGATCCCGTTCATTACTCTAAACAACCTGTAATAAAGAGGTCCCTCCTCTCGCCCAGAATAGCTCCCGGGATGGAAATTCCACTTTCTTTGGCAGTTCATCCACTGTTTAACTTGTTCTCTTGTTCTCTACAATCCCTGTGGTTTTGTTTCCTTGTTTTTTTTTTTTTTTTGTTTTGTTTTTTTTAACTTCTTCAAGCTCTGAGCCCATGTTTTCCCTCCTGTAACTCAAGCCACGGGAAGCGATTCCTCCGATAACACCTTCTCACCCGTTGTGAGAGGGCTGGGGGCCCTTGTCTCCTGTTGTCTTCCTAAGACGCAACACCCGCTCAGGCTCGCCACAGTTCTGTCTTCCAAATCCGAGTGGCTTTCTTTTGTTGGTTGGGGGTTTTCTCCGCCCCTTAGCCAAACTCTCCAAAGCTGCTGCATTTTTTTTTTTTTAATGTGTATTGATTTATTTCTGAGAGATAGAGAGCAAGTGGGGGAGGAGCAGGAGAGAGAAAGAGAGAGAGAGAATCTCAAGCAGACTCCACCCTGCCAGCGCAGAGCCCGATGCGGGGTTCGAACCCACAAACCGTGAGGTCGTGACCTGAGCTGAAATCAGGAGTCAGCAGCTGAGCTGACGGAGCCCCCCAGGCGCCCCTCTAAAGCTGCTGCATCTTTTTTTTTATTTATTTATTTAAAAAAAAAATTTTTTTTCAACGTTTTATTTATTTTTGGGACAGAGAGAGACAGAGCATGAACGGGGGAGGGGCAGAGAGAGAGGGAGACACAGAATCGGAAACAGGCTCCAGGCTCCCAGCCGTCAACCCAGAGCCTGACGCGGGGCTCGAACTCCCGGACCGCGAGATCGCGACCTGGCTGAAGTGGGACGCTTAACCGACTGCGCCACCCAGGCGCCCCTCTGCTGCATCTTTTTAAAAAAACAGCTCACAAAAGCATTTGGGGGGGGGTGGGGGGGGGGGGGGGGGCCACAGGGATGCTTCAGATTCTTGGCCTTCGACCCTCAGGACGTTTTCATACAAGCCTTGAAAGTGTAAGTGCATGGAAGGGTTTCAGGTGGAATTCTCATGAAAACAATTTCTCCGCGTGGATATTCAAGGGATTCTCAAGACGATTCCACGATTCAGTATCGATCAAAACACAAATGTGGAAGACACCGCCAAGTGCTCCCACTTGCTTCGGAAAGAGGGCCCAACCCCGAGGCTGCTCATTTCCTCCCTTCAGCTCTCTCCTTTGCTCCCCCTTCCTGTTCTGCAACCCTCCTCTCAGCTCCCCTGGGTGCCCCACCCACCCGCACATCCACAGCTGCCCTTGGGTAAACCCCAGGCTTCTTTTGAAGTTCAGCTGTTTCCATCCAGGCAGCTGGAGGACAGGCTGAGGGAGGCGTCCCCCTCAGCCCCCTCCTGGCCAGTCAGAGCCCCGACGTGCACTCGGGGGACCTCAGAGCTAATCTGAGCCTCGTCCCATCTTCGCCAGCATCAGCTCCCGAGGCAGGAGGCAGGACTTCGCCTTGCCTCTGCTGCCCCTTCTAGGCACCCGGTCCTGAAGAGCTGGGTTTTTTGTTCCCAGAAAATGTGGGGAAGGGGTGATTTCAACTGATCGCATTTCAACTGATTTCATAGACTGATTTCAACTGATCGCAGTCCCATTTTTTAAGGTGAGGAGTTGAGATCAGTGATCTTAGTTGTGATAAAGGTCAGGGCCCATTCAAAACCTCCCCTTCCTTTGGGAAGACTGCCCCCCACCCCAACACAACCCTCGTCCACTCTGACCTGTCTCCTCAGGGCCTTTGTTTCTCAGTGTGAGCTCCATGGACCCCCAGCACCTGGAAACTTGGTAAAAATGCAAATTCCCTGGCCCACTCCAGACTCGGCAAATCAGCATCTCTGGGGCTGGGGCCCGGTATCGGCATCTTTAACCACCTCTGAGGTGCTCCTTGGCCCAGAACCACCACTCGGAGCTGAGAGTGTGGGGGGGTCTTTGGCATTTCCCTCATGCTACTCTTTCTTCTACTTGTCTGTCACTCTGTGTCTCCTCTCCCTCCCCTTAAGGTGAGTCTCCAGGACAAGGGGTAGCCCGCCCATGTCTCGGAATCCCCTACCGACTGAGTCACCCCGATGTAGCCCGCCGGGCACAGTGAGGCCTGCGGCGCAAGCAGCCTAGCACTTTCCACAGGGACGTCGCTCAGGTGCTCGGTGAACTAGTGTTGATGAATCAGCTTCCGGTAGGTCCATCCGCTTTCAAAGGACAGCTGCCGCGCAAGCACATCGCACAGAAGAGTGGCCACGACTCTCCGTCCCGGAGCTCTCTTTATGGGCCAGCGCTGTTCTGCCCAGGACTTGGGGTGGGCACGGCCCTCGCTGCACGGGGTGACCGGGAAGGCTTACACGACATGGTGCGCGTGAAGTGCTCAGAAAGGCACCTTGACTGTGGAACGCTCTCCCTATGTTAGCCTCTGCTGCTGCTGTGACCGTGAAGATGGTGATGGGGAGGAGGAGGAGGAGGACAGTGGGGAGCACCCCTCAACAGAGTGTTTAGAGAACATAATTCGAGGTCTTCACGCGGGTGTGCCTGACAGATGGAGCCGGAGCCTCTAAACAGGACTCGGCCTCCTTCAGAGGTGCTATCTTATCCCTTTGCTCCTGTAGGACCTCGGAGGGACCAGGAAGAGGCGTGCAGGGCCACGCACCCACAGATGGAAAGGCAACCGACGTCACGTCTGTCCCTACCAGGAACACCACTGGGTACCGTCTCATTTCCTCACCAAGCTGCCAACTGGTTCCCCACCCCGGTCCCAGCTCCTGGGCCCCCGCCCTCCACTGGCCAGTAGCTAATAAAGGCAAAAGCTGTGAATCCCCTCAAGAATGTCATTTTCTCACAGAGGCATGGAAACAGTGTCAAAGTTCCAAAGAGTGCATCTCTCTAGGTAGAATTCCAGTAGGTATGCCCTTGTATTTTTTAAATATAAATGTTAACTTTGTACATCACTTTCCAAGTACTGGATGAGGCTTACTGTAGGACACCCACAACAGACCTTTAAGAATCAAAGGCAAAAGAGTAAGATCTTACGGTGGTCGGGAGCTGGGGAGGGAATGTGGGAAGGGATGCGACTCCTCCCTTGCCGGGGCCACGTGGTCGGTGTAGCTAAGCGTTCCACTGAACCCCACCCTTCCCAGTAAATGGAACAACTTATTTGGGAAGGAGACCTACTCCCTCGATTCCCAAACACATAGCCATTGTCTCCCGGCAGAGGTGGCGTGGAGAGTTTTAATAAGGCAGGAGGCAGGGTGAAATCGATAGCTTGCACCTCCGAGTTTAGGCTCAAACCCTGCTCGGTGTCGACAGATGGTGCTGGAGAAACAGGATTCCCCTGGAATCCGTCTGTTTTCGGAGCCGTGCTCTCTGCCATGAGGCCGGACAGGAAAGTGCTGTAGACACACATGGGCAGCTTGCGTGGACGGGGGACAAGGTCTCACCCGAAATAGAACGAGGACAGCAGATTCCTCCCTGGAGAGAGTGTCTGTGTGTGTGTGTGTGTGTGTGTGTGCGTGCGCGCGTGCGCCGCACTCCTCTTCAGTGTGTTTTTTTCTGTGATTAAAACAAGAGGTGATTTCAATTCTGAAAACAACCCAAGCCCCCACTGTCAACCTGGCCGTGGCCCTGGGTGAAAGCCACGGTCACCATGGTGGTGCTGTCTTCTCCCCTGCAGACATCCAGGACAAAGAAGACACACAACTTAGGAAGGTGAGATGCCTTTTAAAATTTAGACAAAATCTTAGAGGGTTTATTTCCTTGATCTCTAGACCTACATCCATTAACCCACAGTCGAAGACAATCAGTGCTACTGTCTGGGAAGGCAGCTCAAATGGGTCGAAACTGCCATTGTATATCCAGGAAAGATAGAGACACAACACAGGTTTTTTTTTTTTGTTTTTTTGTTTTTTTGTTTTTTTTTTTTAATGCCCGTTTCCAGGGAACCAGCTACTGCTGAATGCAGCCTGATAGAAATTCAAGATAAAACTCTCATGGATTCGGCTGAACCATAAAGTGCCACTTAACAGACGATTTGCACAGTCTATGAACTGCTTGGATTTGCTGAACTTCTTTTTTCACCATTCTAAACTCCATCTCATCAAACTAGTATTTTTTAACTATACAGAGCAGCATTTAAAATGATAAATTTCAGGGAGGAGGGAAGAGAGAAGGCGTTTCATGAATAACTGGGACCAGACAACAGCCGGGGAGACGTCTGACTTTCTTATGAAGAATCCAAACCCTGAACCGTGACTTATCCTGGGTCTGTCTGATCCTCCTCGTTCTCCTAGGACCTCTCACTACTCTGATACCCTTGCAAATTTCCTGGTTGCCTTTCCAGGCCTCATTGTGAATATCCACCGTCCTTCAACAGGACTCTCTGTCTCTTTGAACACTTATGATATACATGGACTTTACTTTCTGGCTCTTGTCTATCCAAAAAAAAAAAAAATTATCTTTCAGGGGTTGTTTTCTTATCTTCTGTTGCTTAAACAATCATCTTCTGTATTGTTGAGAAAAACCCAAAGCTGTCAGCTTTCCTGGACGCAGCTCTCTAGCAAACTCCCCCCCCCCAACTCCCATCTGCTTATAATTTAATGCTCTGTATGTTTTAATCATTTCATTAGGCATGTCTTTATTTTGAAATGCAACTAATTCCTCAGTTCAAACAAACAGCCAGTAACTCTAAAATGAGACCATTCTTTTCTTTTGGTTAGAGGCTGGCTTAGAAGCAATATCACACCTATTTTGAGATGGTTTGAAAAGACTCAAATGCTCATTTTTAAAAAATCATTGCTTCTTAAAAGTGGAGAGACTCTCAGAGATTCTTTTAGTATCTCCACAGGTGTGGAGCTAACTTTTGAAGGAGTCTTCTCACATCCTCCTGAACACTTTGTGATGAAGCCAGTGTTATTATTAAAGCCCGTCAGCAAACAGACCAAAAAAAAAAAAAATTTTTTTTTGCTTTGAGATATCTCATTCCTATACTTGGTGACAAAGGACACAAAAGAGAAAACTGACCCCACTGTACAGCTTGTATATTTTATTAATGTATTTTCTTTACAGGAGTTTACAATTTATTAAGGCAAGGGGGATTATGTTTTGCTAGCAGGGGGAAGTGAATTTACAAAGTGCTTCGTATGTTTTTGGTTTTGTTTTTTTGTTTTCTGTCCCTGACATGCAGATTTATTCAACATCATCGAGATGTTGAATCAATCCATCAAGAAATGGAGTTGCTGGAATTCAGCATATATTTCCCTTTAAATATAATTCATATTATAATTTCATATGATATCAATGGCCCAACTGCACAACATGGAATTGGTGTCTTTCTTTGCTGATACTCGTATTAATTTCTGGCAATAAAATGTTCTGTCGACATTTCAGAAGCGCAAGTAACATTTTGCATCCAACAGGCATTTAATAAACGTGTGTTGAAGCATTGGGAGATAAATGGGTAGGATACACATCGACATTTAACATCTATGTCTTAATTCAGCTGTGAGTGCCAATGTTTATTAACGTTGCTGTATAATAAACACAACCGTGTGCTTTCCCACATAGTCTCTTCCGGTGGGGATTTCTTCTACTTCCAAAACAGAAGTCAGAACCATTTAAATTTCTACATAAAGGTTGAAATGATAATAAGAATCCGGGAGTGAGGTTGTCTTAGAGGAGTTGTTTTAGGACACGTTGGCGAGTTATTGACAGATGGGAAGCCAAGCGTGGCTGATACAAATGGTTGTCAGTCGCCATCTAGTGGCGATATGTGAAACTGTGCTCATTCCATAGGAAAGGCTTTTGGAGCAAGCTCGTCGGCTCTAAATTTCAGCGCCTATCGGGCCACCAATGTACATCTGTCCATCTTTAAGGCTTTCGGCTAAGGGGAAACACTGAAGAAAGCATGCCAAATTATCTTCCAAGATCTCTGTGTCCTTGGGGATAACTAAGAAGTAACTAGTGGGGGAAACTGTTTCTTTCTGGATGCTGACAAGCAAAAGTGGAAAGCAATTTGGAGAAAACTTTGCCTGCAACAAACGTGGTGTAAAAGCAAGGTGAGTAGCATGACATTCCCCGCTATATTTTCCCCACGGGAGCTTTCACTGCGTACAGAAATCCATGATCTGGCCATGACTTCTACAACCCACAGGACTTGCTTACCACTGCCGAATTTGCACGGGGCGGGGGGGAGACTCTGTGGCGGGTGCCTAGTTTTATCCAGCATTTTGATGCTACTTCATAAGACGTCTTAATTCTTACACATGTGCACCATCACGACGTTTTGCACTGGGTTACAATGTCACATTTCACAATTACCAACAATCTGATATTCAACGGTCTAAGGTAGGTCTGCTACAGTAAAAGAGGTAAGAAATCCAAGATCAGTAGTGGAAAATAAATGTCTCCCGCTTGCAGTTTGCATTGTCAATTAGTCTCAAGTACATTGAACACTTTGAGTTCTTCTTCCAGTATACCCACGTTAAATGTCCCCAAGACAAGTCAGAGTCATTTAGGCGTAAATTGTGCAAAAAAAAAAATTAACTAAATAAGCAGTGTATGTGTATAGTGGAACGGTTGGCAGAGCATTCAATATTTGAGAGTAAAATCAAGACAAAGTGTTTAGGAATCTCCCAGAGCAAGTAATTTTGCTTGTCTAGATTTCTACCTTAGCAAGTTTACAGTGCTTGAAAAACGCTGCTTTCAAAGCAATGTGAACGGCTTTTTAAGACCATCAAATACAAAATGATTTAGCCTATCAGTTCCAAAATCGAAAATACTACATGTTAAGGTCAATTTCCACCACAAATACATGCTTTCGGTGTACAAGGCTCAGCCTAAAATGTATTTGCATTTGCCTTTTGAACTATCATCCTGATCTCTACGTTGTGATAAAGCTTCAGCCACAGCTCAAACATTTATTTTCACTTTGTCAAGGGGCTATTTATTTTTAGGGAAACATTGAATGATTTAAGGTACGTATCATTTGTTTTTAGAAAAGACTGTGAACGAGGAGCAACCTGAAAAACCGGATTGTTACACACATGAAGTCACCAATCAAAAAAAAAATCCTGAAATGGCTCATTGCTTTGGTACACTATCCTTAATTAAAAATCCATTGTCTGAAAGCTAGAAGTATTAGGAAAAAATACCGATATGTGAAAACAGATTTGTGGGCTTAGGTCTCTATTGTTGCCTACCTATTGAGACGTCTACAAAAAAGTTTTCCCCCCCCAACCTTTCTGCTTTCCTTATTCTTAAATGTTCAAAGTGATTTGCATTTTCTGGAATATTCACCTAATCACTGACATCCTCACTTAAAAGGAAATCAGACTGTTTTAGGGCTGTGCTGTTGCTCACTGTAAATCCTAACTGTGTTAGGAGGGAGCAGAAAAATAAAATTGGCAAAATTCTAGTCTCTGTCTTTTGGTGCCTTGCTGACTTCCCTGTTTTCTATCAGGTCCCCTGTGTTCATGCCACAGCTCAGCCAAGGGCTGCTGCACACAATTTTCTTCACATGCCAACGCGACACCTCGAAGTATACCTGAAAATAAAAATAGAGAAGCCTTCGAAAATTCCCTGTCCATGGCAAGGTAGGAGTATGTGGTGGAAGACATCTGGGGTTGCCATGATGTCCTCAGCAGTCCCCTGTCCCCTTTACGGCGATGTTGCTGGGATAGACGGAGACAATTTCAGGAAGGTTTGGGGCTCAGGAGGACATCAATGCAACGCATTGTTTTTGCACGGTCTGGCTGGAGGGTGTAGCACAAAGTAAAATCAAGACCTCCTCTTTCATTGTGAAGCACAGTTGGGCTGTTTGATCTCTTAAGTCCTCGGGTAATTGGAGTCTACACAGCATGTGGAATCGGGGCCTGAGTGGCTCGCCCGCCTGCCCAAAGCCCGCCGCAGACCTGCCTGGGGCACCATTTACCCCCGGCCAGATCCAGCCTGCATTCACGGTTTTCTGCCTGGACACGGGCAGCGATCCTGAGCTGAGAAAACGAAGAGGTGGGGATTTTAAATGCCAAAACTGCTGTTCGTTACCAGGTACACAGAGGTAGCCAGAAACCCCGCGGTCTGGGGGCACATCACATTCCACGACCCTCTCCCCATGTCCTGATCCGGCTTCACCACCGCAGACCGGTGTTTCACACAGGATTGCCGTGACACCCACCCGCCCGCCCAGATCACCCTGCGCTCTTCCTCCCCAGGCCCATCAGGTACCATAGTTGGTTTCCACACCATCTTCCAACAGGTAGTTACTGGGCACCTACCAGGCGCCAGGCACTCAGCTGACTGGGAGCTCTGCTGTCCTCAGCAAGCAGGGTCACCAGGCATCCCAATTGGCCCAGAACTGAGGGGGTTCTGGGACTCGGTGCTTTAGGCATTAAAACTGGTAGAGCCCCTGGCAAATCGGGCCGGGTTGCTCACTCAGTAATGAGCCCAGCCTCGGCTGTCTTCTATGAGTCTTTGTCTTAGAAGTTTATGTCCCTGTCCGCAAAGGAGGGTCCTTCGCCCGTGTCTTCATGTCCAAAACATAGAAGCTTCGCGTAGAGCTAGGCGGGACTGCAGTTTTCCAAGCCAGATGCTTCCTTTCCGAGATAATCACGGGGTGGATCCAGGTTTTGAGGGGCTTGAAGCTTATACAATCTGGGACCCTCTGTAAGAAAAATAGACAAAATGCCGAATACGAAATACGATGCTATGTGGGAGGGAATGTGCAAGACCAGGGGCCCAAAGGGCAAGATTCATTTAGCTTCATGTTCAGTCTGCCTTTGCATATGATAATAGTAATCAGTGATTCAGGTTTATTAACTCGCTTAATCCTCACAGCCTATGAGGAAGAGGAGTTCATCCTTCCCATTTTACAGATCAGCAAGTTGGGACCCAAGGAGGTTAGGTAACTTGTCTGGGGTCACCCAGCAAGGTCCACCGCTCAACCTCCTTCTGCCAGAAATGGCAAATGGATGGTGGGGACCAATGACTCCGCCTCCCACTGGGGCAAAACTTGCAAAACAAAATCACCTGGCTAAGCAATTCAACAGACTCAACTGATTTCAGAATTAAACCCCAGGAGAAGGTGAGGGCCTCTGTGGCTCTCAGAGAAGGGATTTATCCTGCAGACATCACACATTTCTCTAGCTGATGCTGGGAAGGCTGATGTGAGCCTTGCTATGCATGACAGTTGTACCTGGAGGTCTACCTTCTCCCGCTAACGGAAGGCGGTGGACTCTCCCCAGTCTGTCGGCAAGTCTGTGAGGCACTGCTTTCTTGCCTTGTTTTTTAACATGACCTTTTCCCACGTTTCCACCCTCTCTCCTTTGAGCCCATCCTGTGCCAGACACACGGGGGGTATCCATCGGTCCACAATCCCATAAGAAATCCACTGGGCAAGTGCAGTGGACAGAAGATAAAGTGTGTGCACTTTGCCACCTAACTCCTGGTCTTGGAGTCTTGCTCCTGTGATCGTAGATAAGTCACTGAACTTCCCCATGCCTCAGTTTCCCCATCTGTAAAATGAGGGGGTTAACAATATCTATCTCACTGGGTTGTTGTGAGGAGTGAATAAGTGACTATACGTACAATGACTCAAAAGGGCCTGGTGCACAGTAACACTATAAATGTTAACTCTTTTTTTTTTTTTTTTTTAACTTTTATTCATCTTGAAGGAGAGAGAGACAGAGCGTGAGTCGAAGCAGGCTCCAGGCTCTGGGCGGTCAACACAGAGCCCGACGCGGGGCCCGAACTCACGGGCCGTGAGATGGTGACCTGAGCCGAAGTTGGACGCTCAACCCGCTGAGCCACCCAGGCCCCACAAATGTTAAGTCTTGTTATCATCATCAAATGATTATTATTACCGGCAAGTGGGCACTTCCGTGTGGAAATCCCAGCGAGGAGGCAGGGCAGTCTTCTGGGTACAAGACTACAGGTGGGGCGTTTGCGTGGCCACTTCCACGTAGAATCAGCAGCGACTTGTGTAGAAAGCCTCCGTTCCCTGACCGTCTCGGAAGCAGTTCGGGTCTGTCTGCAGGACACAAGCTTAGCCTAGAAATGGCCCGTTAAATAGCCCCGGTGAGGAGTCACATCGATGGCTAATTAAAGTGGCATTAACCCCAACGGGCTGGGGAGCAGGACTGTGATTTCCCCACTGTGGGCTTGCGCAGGCTGGGCCGGGCGTCTCCCCCATCCTGGGCTCGCACCTTGGGGTGAGTGGGACCCTTGGGAGAGAGACGCTGGGTGCGGAGGCAGAAGGAACGCAACTTCAGAATCTGCTTATTGTTCCCGACAAATAATAATATGATTAAGGCAGAAATGGTGCGTGTACCCATCAGTCACAGGTGCTGGTAATAGCTCACCTAATTACTTCATTATTTTTGGCCACTCCAGCGGGCAGTTTGTATTTACGTCCTGTACACGGTTCCATTACTACCACTCATTGTGCCGATTCCAGCAATTCCAAGGAGTCTCTGAGGGGGGCTGGACAAGTAGAATCTTGTTTTTCTTGATTTCCCCGGAGGAGAGGAGCTGTTGGGGGAGGGGGCGGGGCCGGGGGGGGGGGGCGGGGAGGAGTTTGGAGGAAAGCATCCAGCATCCACCTCCAACCGCTTAGCTCAGATGAGTGATAAATGATGGGTGATTCTTGAAACGCTAGAATTTTAAAACAAAACAAACATACCCTAGCCTGCGAGTTTCAGGGCCAGCCATGGTGACGAGCAGCTCTGGGCCCGCACCCACGAGGACGGAAAAGTGCTTGGACCCCGGCCCCTCTTCTTTAGGTTAGAAGCCCAGAAGTCCTGGGGGGTGCGGGGGGTGGTGGGGGGGGGGTACCTGCTGTCCTAACGAATACCTGGCCACAAATGAAAGAAGTTGGTGTGGAAAAACATTGTGAATTGTAGTCACTCAAGCATCAGTAAATCTGCTGGAAGTCAGGGCTGGCTGTTTGTAGCTTGTTTAGATGTTGATTGTTTACAAATTGCATTTTCTCTTTGAAAAAGCGAGCACCTCTCAGGGCTGGGGTGCTTCCTGCCAGGGGATAAAGGCGGCCTGTCGTTGATCAAATTGGTGCAGTTCTTCACGTTAGGGCCCTTTCCCTCCTCTGTTCCCTCTTTCCCTTCCTCCTACGTTGACAAATCATTCTTAAACCCAGCCCCCAGGCCCTGGGCTCTGTACAACTTCCTATTTTCTCATTATTTGCAGGTATCTAGAGGAGGGAATGCCAACACTGGCTGGTCTCCCCGCCCCTCTCGGGCCCCACTTGCTTGCAAAGGGGCTTCAAGGACCTGATTTGCACACCTCAGCTCATTTGCAAGGTCAGGAGCCAAAAGCAAGCAGGAGAAAAAAGGCATACGCCAAAGAAAAGTGACTGAGTCATTAGACGACTGGAGGGCGTGCATCCGAATTCCTCCTTTCACACAGACCCAGAGGACAGGTGACCGTTCCAAAGCCCCACAGTGGCCGGATACAGCCAGGAATGGAACCCGGGGCTGCCGGCCTCCATGTGCAAAATGCCTCACAGAAGCTGCTTTTCGGAGCGAAACACCTCTGTGTTTATTTATTTATTTTATTTTTTATTTTTTTTTTTCAACGTTTATTTATTTTTGGGACAGAGAGAGACAGAGCATGAACGGGGGAGGGGCAGAGAGAGAGGGAGACACAGAATCGGAAACAGGCTCCAGGCTCCAAGCCATCAGCCCAGAGCCCGACGCGGGGCTCGAACTCAGGGAGCGCGAGATCGTGACCTGGCTGAAGTCGGACGCTTAACCGACTGCGCCACCCAGGCGCCCCACACCTCTGTGTTTAAACCCATCCATTCATTTGTTCATTCAGCAGGTAACGGGCAGCTGGTCCACAGTTGGACCAGCCCTAGACCCACAGAGATGTATTTTAGAAAACCAGGGACCCGCAGGCACAGGCTTCAGCTCCTTGAAAGACCCACAGGAGAGACCGAACTCTGTGGTTTGCAGCTAAAGCTCCTTCCCGAGACATCTTCCCTGTGTGGTCCCTGGTAACAGTTGTCCCTCCTCAGACAGGAGCTTGGGGTTGGGCTAGATGCTAAGGGCAGTAAATAAGCAACAGATCTCCTTTACATCACCCTGGTCCCAGAGTGGAGGCGGATCCCAGGCAGAACTTCTGATGGGTGGTTTGACAGCCAGAACTGTGCTCAGAGGACCACTCCTCAAGAAAAAGCGAGGACTGACAGGAGACGTCGCTCCCCGCCCGCCGTAACCCCAGGGTCGTGGAGGGTGTCGCAGTTGCGGTGGCCCAGCACCAGGTGAAGAGTCCACTCCTAGGGCTCCTCTGCTGCCCTGTGCTGTGGTCCTCAGGGATGGCACAAGCTTACTTGGAGGGCATGAGTTTTTACCGTGCCTACACATTCAAATTGTGTTGCGGACAGCGGAAAAAAGCAGAAGACAA